TCTACTCGTTCTATTAGAATGCTTCTGTCATCCGCCGCGGTGGTGCCGTTTACGGTGCTCGGCTGCTGAACAGAAGGACGCGGGTTCGACCCCAACCACGGCGGTCGCATTCTCGATGGAGGCGAAATGCTACAAGGCCATGCGCTGTGTCGTGTCCGCGTTGAAGAACACCGGATGGTCAAAATTTTGGGATCTCTCTACAATAGTGGAAAGCGTCCCTCATAATCATATGGTGGTTTTGACACGTAAAACGCCAGATAATACTGCTGATGTTAACCGAAGTCTGTAATTGAAAATAAACGCTTCAATTTCATATATTAGAACAGCAATCCAAAGCAAAATTGAGGGTAATCAGATGTGGAAAAACTTCCTCCGCAACGAAAAGGTGCGTGCATGAGAAATTATGAGCATGGAATTTGTTTCTTCTAACTGGAGACGGCCGCTATTCACCAGAGAAGGAAATCTCCTGCGTAAATTTACATACATTATATATAGCGTCTTTCCTTAAGGCTTCGTTTGAAAAGTATGGTTAACCATGTTGTTTAACCAAACATTCAAGCAACCATTATGCCTGGCTATCGCCGTAGGCGTAGTTTCAGCTTTTTTTTTTTTTTTCTCACGAAAGTAACCCAACCAGAGCACCCACCGTCTCCCCTACTTCCTGAATATTGCCTAACAGAACGCTTGAAGTCGAGACGCTATACACCATCTTCAAGCGGCTTACGAAGCAGAATTCCATCATTTAGAGATATACTACATATGTATCTTTCCATTTTGCAGTTTTCCCTTCATCCCACATGAAAAAGGGTTTGAGAGAAAAGGAAACACTATTTTTTGCTTCTGCACGAACTCGTGTTTATGTCGGTTTCTTTCTCCCTCCCGCCGACACTACTAGCGCATCCTATTCGCAAGGCCATAGCATCGAACCCAGACCGACCAGCGAAAAAGCTCGGCACAGCATCTCTTTGAGCCTCAGTTTCGTGCATGCTCTTTGCAAACTCGTTTTGCGCCGGCAGTTATCTGCGTTTCTTGTGTTCGAAGGGCACTGTACGGCGTAACGCTTCCGGCTGCGCTCAGGAATGCCGCAACAACGGCGCAACGATGGCGTGTATACTTCGGGGGGGGGGGGGGGGGGGGTACTTGAAAATGAGAGATGAAGGGGGGGGGGGCAAAAGGACAGAGCACTGAAAAAAAAAAGACCATCAGCCTTCCCACGAGACCGTGAAGAAAACGCATACGCCTACTCACACACTCACGCACAAGGGCACGGAGGTTGCACTACGTTTCCTTCTCTCTGTGCGCACCGTTAAGTCGGTTATTGCGCTTCTTCATTCTAAATGAGAGTCCGTCCAAACACGGACTGAAGAAAGAAGTCTGGTTTTGGGACGTTAAACCCCACATATCAATCAATCAAATCAATCAAGAAAGTCAAGACACCGCAACGCCGACCAACAACAGTCAAAGTGCCAAACGGCGAAACAGATGGCACGAAAACTTATCTGCGCACGCCCGGGCGGACCTATCGATCCGGCAGGCATGGGGGTCTACGTGAACGATAACTGTTAAGGTAATTATAGCCATCTAGCTCAGCTTTCTATTGTTCTGCAATGCATTTCCTCTTTTCTAGAAGATATCTAGTCTTCGAAGGGTCCAGTATTGCAGCGTGCCTTTCGCAACTTTCCGGTAAACGCGCACGATACACCTGGAAATATAGTCAGCACCACCGACAAGATGTACACGCTGAAAATAAAGCTATTACAGAGGTGAACCTGGTCATCCAGTTAAACCTAACGCTTCCGATTCAATGACGAATTGTGCGGTGCTTTCCCTCACTTGGGCGGCCGTATAACGAAGGCTTTTCAGTCCGACCGAGAGGAAATCAATTTGCGCGCGCGCTCGCCGACAGGGGAAAACAACAAGCCACACAATAAACCTCATGTTAATTGAAGTCGCGACACACAACTTACTATTATTATTATGACTCTGCTCGATGCTACTTGCGGAGTGTATACATCAATTGCTTCTCTCGCTATGTTCCCTTTCGTTCATTCATGTTTACCCGCTCGTCTCTTGCTCCTTTGGAACGTATATACGGTTCCCTCCTGGTGAGGTGCCAAGCTTGCGTTTTCTTTTCTACTAGCTTTCGCCGATGTGAGTAACCTCCCGCTAATCTCACCGCCCCTCCGCGGTTTTAAGAGGGTGGCATCGTGGTAACTCATTCGGCATGCATCATCGGAAACACTCAAATCGGACCGCGCTGTCGGCATGATCGCTGAAAAGCGGTGCAGTCAGCATAAGGCGAGGTCGTTATTGTTGGGCCCCGAAATATCGAACGAATCCTAAAAGATGTGTCACGGCGTTTGCGCGTGCACTGGGTAAAAAAAAAATGCGAGTTCAATATATACCGTTTCTATACTATTACAGCCCAAATGAAAGCCACAACTTCAACGAAATCCTCCCTAAATTTGTTGCTGCTTCTTTAAACATGTCGTATGCGTGGAAATGCGCAGAACTCTTTCATAGAAGTGGTCAGCTGCCCCTGCATGGCGGTATTTAATCACTTCTGAATATTGCCGCTCACACATAACAAACTATCACGTTTACAAAGTAGGCCTGTCACTGCAGAGTTTCCTTTTTCGATCTTTTTTTTTACTTCGCCATTACGACGAACAACGAAAGGGTGAGACGAACTTCCCGCAGTGGTTTTAACCTGCCATGATCATCACCAATTAAGGAGGTCCATTCTCATCTGTGTATACTTCGATAATTTTGTATTTGCATTGTTTATAATACACTCCTCCCTGTATTATTTATTTGTATGCACAATAAATAAATAAATAAATAAAATGGTGAATAAATGAATAAATAAAGCGCGGTCTCTATTCTCTCGTTGACACTCTGATCAGCTGAAAAGAAATCATCGGCGTTCAAACTGAACATTTATCAGCGCAGTACACGACAACACACATGCATGCGTACGCAATTAAAGTCCATATATACTTAATCTTATTGCTTCACTCGTCGGCTAACCCTAAAAAGTAACGCAGGACTACTACATGCTAAACACCGTCAAGGTATAGCACGTCACAGCATGATGGCGTCGTGCAGGCCCGCGCCGATTCAAAATGTGGGGCGAAAAGATTTCGAGCGCGGCGCCTTCTCGACTCTCGCGTCTGCGCGCCAAAAACATTTGCAAATGGCGAAGACGAGTGAAATTCGATCGTGTGGATATGGAAGACAACGCTCGCGACAGAATTTGAATATGAAACGTGCGATCTCGTTTCAAGAGGCCACAGCTTTTAATAGATGCCGCAGCGATTACTTCGTTTTTTTCAAGACAATCGTGCCATCTGCACAGTAATCGGCGCTTATACAGACCTCCCGTGACTAGAAACTACATGCACACAATATTGGCAAAACGGTAATCAATACAGTCCGCGAGGACACAAATGATGGGACTCTAGGCTCCGGAGAAGGCTGTTATACCACATATGCGCCCTCGAACTGAAGCTTGGGCGAGTGCGGCGTACGAATACATTTAGGAGGTCTTAACAGCGCGTATACGGTAAGAAAAATGGACAGGATAAGCAGATGCAAACAACGCTGCATATATACATGCCAAGGAAAGGGGAACAAAACAGGGGGAAATATGTGGGCATATCGCTGACACATCATAAGGCAGGTATACCAACGCATACAATTCCATGCACCCAGAAGCCCACCAATGCGATCACATTCCTTATTCGATAGCGCAATAAAGGGCGCACTAACACACGTGTCACCCTCGTTATGTATTAATTGCGCTGCGATAATTTAGTGCATTAACTGAACAGCACTCTTTGCCGTAAGTTATCCTGTTCCTTTTCCTTATTGTCTATGCGCTGTAATACATGCCTAATATCACCATCGAACTTGATATGACCGAGGGAAATTCGGTGAAGCGGTCTGTTACAAGTTTATAACTATTTTCGCAGTTCGTGCGAACCATTTTTAAATGTGTATGTTACGAGTGGGAAATCAAGGTTTGAGTCCGAAGTAGAGAGAGAGAGCCACATACAACCTTATTGAACACACTGAATGATGGGAACATTCAGCATTATCTAATGAGCGTTCACAATCACGTCGTGCTCACGCATATGAGATATAGTAAAAAGGTAGCAATAGCACTTTTTGCTACATTTTTACAACACCCTACTTTAGGAGTAAAAAATACATTAAATAAGAAACATGAATGGCTTATAAACAACGCCTTTGCAAGAAACGCTGGAAAGGTATACGGTAATTAAGAAAGAAAAAAGAGACAAAAGCACACAAAATCCAGTTCATGACAGATTGCTGAGTAAGAACAGCGAAAGAAATACAATTACTTCCATCAGTTCCTTCACACGCGCTCTGTTACTGTCTTGCAAATATATTCCTCCAAGCGCAATCTTAAGTTTTTTTTTATGGTATCCGTCAAAGCGTTTTGTATTTTCTATTGGCCACCTTTAAACCAATACAGAATTTGGCAAAGAAAGTTTCTTCGCTGCTTCATCTGACTGCCTAATGAATACAACTATGTTGCTGACCCCTTAGCGCTGTTACAATTCTTAGTTCAAATTCGAGTACCGCATTTCAGAAGACGTTTAGATAGAATGTAATGGGCCCACTTTAGGTAGATATGCGCATCTTTCTATTCATGTGCTAAAACATGAGGGCCAGTGTACGAAAAAAAAAAGCTATTGTTCAATTTTAAAAGAATGGAGCAGCTCCAGCCTGCAGACATCACCTTATACAAAGCGATAAGGCATGCGCTGAAGTGCTCCCGGCGTTGACTGCAGCGGCGTGCTGCGTGTTTGACAACGGAATAACGCGTCATATACACGTTACCCGTATTTTTGATAACTCATGAAGAAGAAAAAAACGACATCTATAGCACCATGATGACCATTCTCATCGATCAACGCGCATATTCGGTCGAGCCATATGTTACCGTAGGATATTCAGTCAGCAGTACTCACGTTGGACTACAGCCGGCGCAGGTATCTGTCTCCGGGCGCCGTATAATCCTTAGACGACTCGTTGGCAGTTGTCAACAGAGAAGCGGCAGCTGCACGTTTCTTCACGGGGCTCAGATTGACGAGCGGCGCGCGCGTGGCTGCCACTGACGGCGTCGTGACAGCGCGATAGCCTCGTGTCGCGAGATGGACTGCGGGGGGAGTCGAGAACGCTTAGCTGTGTACGTTGTAATAGACAGCGGAGGCCGAGCGATGAACCTGGCTTCTCGATGGCAGCAGCGAGGCGACAGCACAGCCGGCCCGAGACGACGACAATGGAAGAGAGCAGAGTAACGACGGGACGGCAGCTCCCAGGGAGAAGATCCACGCTCAGCGGCGGCGGGGATGAAAATAAGAAGGCGACGGGCGACGCTTTTTTCCTCCCGAGAGTATACTTCCTTCGACGAACAAAAGAATGCGGCGACCAGTCTGGGCTCACGGAGGACAGTCGTTGCGGACGCTTCCAAGTCACCACAGCGTCGGACGAGGCGACCCGAACGCGGGACGCCGGAGGAACCAGAGCAGCGGCGCGACGTCTTGGTTGTGCCGGCCCGGAGTGCGCACGCACGGCGTCCTCTCCGAGCAGCCAGTATCAGGCGAGTGGCCCCTAAAGCGAGTCTCCGCCGAGAGAAAGGGGGTCACCGACGCCTTTCCTGCCCGGTCGCCAGCTTTGGAAGGAAGCAACGAAGAATGTGAGCTGGTCGACTAGACCGGAATAATAAAGAAGAGGCCGCTAATCTCTGCTTCCCATCCCCGGCGAGTGTGCCCGAGCGCCGAGAGCCATTGTTTCTGCGTGGTCCTCACGTGCCAGCTGCTAATATCTTTCATTTCCTGCTCGTATTCAGAGCTCAACGCGCACTGCGCACGCGAGTGCTGGGGAAAGGCCTTCATCAATGAAGACCAGCGTGTACGTATAGGAGGTCGCGAACGCTATCGCCGAGATCCGGCCGGAAAACACCACGCACAAGCGGCAAGGAAAAGTACGTCCTGTCAGACCCGACGCAACGCGACAAGAAAGAGTATAAGGAAGCCGTTGATGACAAAATAAATTCAAACTTAAGCACCAGGGTTTCGCGTGCTGATATCACGATAGATTTTCTTGTAGTGAGGGTGCTACTGCACGTTAGCCTTAAACACTTCTTTGACGGGCATCTATATACTATACCTAAATACATGGGCATTCTCACGCTTTGCCTCCATCGAAACGGAGCAGCAGCTGCCGAGATAAAACCCACGACCTCAAGGTCAGGAGAGCAACGACAGTCGCTGAGCTACCGCGACGGGTCGAATCACGACTGGGGCGTTCTGATGAAGTAGAAAGCGATTCTACTTCGCGTTCCTGGATCCTGAGCTAAATATGATAGCTTCAACTGTTAAACTCTGGGCACGGTAGGCGATTTCGCGTGCTGTCAACTTCAAGCGAGGAGATGGTGGCACCTATTGTTGAAGTCAAGGGCATCAGTGAAAGCTGAAGTGATCGTGCATACATCCTTATCGGAATTTGCATTTTTTTACTACCTAGAATTACGACCATGTACAGGATATATTTCCCAGCACCTCGTTCTGCGCTGCGAAGGGCCAAATCACTTAGTAACCTAAACGTACCCCACTTGGTACAATATTTTAGTTTGCCTGCAATTATTTTGACTTGAACTCATTGATGAAAACGCCATCTTAATCTCTGTCTTTTTTTTCCCCACATCTCACATTTCGTTAGAGTATGTATGCACAACGACAAATGGGAAAGCGGCGGCGTCTCAAGGTTCCCCGCTTGGCGTCTTTCGGCGCGTGCAATGAATAACGCTTCACGGAGCCTGTGTCTGCTACCGGAAAACTAGACACGGTTAAAAAAAAAAAAACAGCTGGGATGCGAATTCTCGCCCCAGCACACACGCTAAAAAAATCTTTCCGGCTCTGCACCGGCAGAAAGTTAGGCCGAGAGGTCTTGCTCCTAAAGCGAAAAGCGCACGTGCGCATACCAGCAAGAAATCGGGCAACTCACGCAGACATGTACTACGTATACCTACATGTCTGCGGCCAACGCACTGTATGTAGGTATACCTACATACAGTGCGTTGGCCGCACGCTTCCGGTATAGAGAACACGCGTGCGTGCCACTTGAACAAATTACAGCTCCTCTGTGCGTGCTTTCTGTTACCCCGTATTATGTTACGGCTCCTACCATAGCCGCGGCTATCGAATGTTAATGGACGGTATCCCATGCAGAAACGCCTATGCATACTGAAATTCCCGCACCTTACATTGAGTGTCATACGTTGTAACACATTTGTCTACGCTTTAACTACCTGTAAGCGCGTTCAATTGTTGGTTATTAATAATTATCTATGGGGTCTTACGTGCCAAAACCACTACATAACGAGGCACGCCGTATTAAAGGTATATCCGATCAGATCGACCACCTGGGAATCATTTTGTCCTTTAGCATTCAGTCTCCATCGAAAATTAAACAAAGAAATCAAGTTTGGACACATGGCTCCTACTATTAAAGAAATGACTTGGGCAAAAACCTGAAATGCATCTTCAGAAACGTTTTACGTTTTACGTTTACGTTTTAAGTTTTAGTAAATACCGGACTGGATAAGTGCTTGTGATACACAGCTAGATGTCGTCATACATAGAATAATGTGTATACATATACTAAGGGTATAAAAAGAAATGTGTGCGTGTGGACGTTTCATTGCAGCGTGAACTGCTGCAAGCAAACTGTTCGTTGCCATCTTATTTCAAAATGTTTCAGTGTGCTATTTTGTTTTGTTTTTCGCCAATTGTTCAATTCTGGTAGCCTTTGCTATTTGTCTTACAGTTCCAAAGCTGTTATGCGATCACAAGATTGATTGATGTTTGAAGTTTTGTGGCGCAAGGGCCGTTTCACGGCCAAAGAGCGCCAGTACATGTTACTAAGAATATGGACAATGATTGTGATAAGCGGCTGTATAAAGGCCATAAAATTCCTCGCGGTAAGGCGGGTAAAAACATACAAATAATAAATCATGACCATGCCGTGAAAGGTGTGTGTGGTGAGGATAGATGACAAGAGTTGGTGATTATAAAAAACGATGGTGGATATGAATGGCATTAGCACAAGTGCCTCACTCGTTCATGCCCTTGCGTCCAAGGGCCGTGAGGCAAGTGCTTTCTTGTGTAACCGCCGCAGCAAAAACCTCTCTAGAGAGGTCGTGCTACGGAATGCCCGGGTGTATGATATGAAAATTATTAATTTCTTTTAAAAACGCTAACAATGATTTATGACTAAAAAGCGGTTCCCTACCGACGAACATTGCAGGGTGTAAAGGTATATGCTGTCGGTAGGGTAATGGAAAATGTCGTTTTCTTAGAGTTTCTAAGTGTTTGCACTGGATTAATATGTGAAGGACTGTCAATGCCTCTCCACATCTGTCACACAATGGTGGATCACCACCGGACAAAAGATGCGTGTGTGTCGTGTATATGTGTCCTATCCTGAGTCTTGTTAGTGTTACCTCTGTTAGACGTGATTTTGATACTGGTGGCCAATGGCCAAGGTGTGGCTTGATAACGTGTAGTTTGTTTTGTGTGTGTGTATCCCACTTGCTCTGCCAGTAGTCCCTGAGTTTTCGTTTGAGAGACGGCTTAAGATCAAGGGCATCACACGGATTGATGTCGGTGTAATGGCGGTGCTTTCGTGGGCGGATGCAGCAAGCTGATCCGCCATCACGTTGCCTTGAATCTCACGGTGCCCTGGCACCCAGCACACAACAACATGTCTGTTGAGTGTGTGGAGGGTGCATAAAATGGAGTAAAGTGAAACTAGGACAGGGTTTTTTTGTTTTTTAAGACTGTGCAGAGCCGTTACCACACTGAGGGAGTCTGTATAAATTACTGCTTTTTGTATTTGTAATTGTTTGATGTGTTTAGCTGCCACAAGTATCGCGTAAGCTTCCGCTGTGAAGATACTTGTGTCTGGATGTAGAGGGCCAGCATCCGAAAAGGAAGGGCCAACAGCAGCGTAGGACACAGAGGAGTTAGACTTAGAGGCATCTGTAAAAAACTCAGGACGTGTGTATTTGTGTTGAAGTTCCAAGAAGTATGTTCGAATATGGGCAATAGGCGCATGTTTAGTAACTTCTAAAAAAGACACATCGCAATCTATAGTCTGCCACTGCCACGGTGGCGGGTATGGTACAGGAGCCATTAAACTGTGTTCGAGTGACACTCCAGTGTCCTCAGCTAGACCCTTCAGGCGAACTGAGAAGGGCTGCCTCATTGAAGGCCTGTTTTGAAAAAGAATGGAGCTCGACAAGTCATTAATAGTAGAGTATGAGGGGTGCCTCTTATCTGCTTTCACCTTAAGGAAATATACAAAGGACATGTAAGTTCTCTGCAGATGAAGCGACCACTCATTCGACTCAACATAAAGGCTTTCTACGGGGCTGGTGCGAAAAGCACCCGTAGAAAGGCGGATGCCCGAATGGTGCACGGGATCCAGCATCTTCAAAGCACTTTGAGTCGCTGACTGATAAATAATGGCCCCATAATCTAAGCGGGTGCGAATAAGGCTTCTATACAGGTTCATGAGGCATTTCCTGTCACTACCCCACGTAGTACGTGACAACACTTTTATAACATTCATGGCTTTTAAACATTTTGTTTTTAAATACTTATGTGGGGTACGAAGGTCAACTTGTTGTCCAAGATTAAGCCTAAGAATTTTTGCTCAGCTTTGACGGACAGTTGTTGCCCGTTCAGTTGAATGTCGGGCTCCGAGTGCATGCCTCTCTTTCGAGAGAACAAGACACACGTGCTTTTTTGTGGGTTAAGTCGAAATCCGTTTTCATCTGCCCATTTGGAGACCTTATTTAAACCCAGCTGCACCTGCCGCTCACACATGGCCAAGTTGCATGACTTGAAGCCAAGCTGAACGTCGTCGACATATGTACAATAGAACATATTGCAGGGAATGGACAAGTGCAAAGAATTCATTTTAATAATAAAAGTGTGCAACTAAGCACACCACCTTGTGGCACGCCTGTTTCCTGGACAAATGTTTGGGAGAGCACACTGCCCAGACGGACACGGAATGTCCGGTTTGACAGGTAACTTTCGATTATATGAAACATTCTTCCGCGCACACCAAGGTGGGACAGGTCTCTTAGAATTCCGAAACGCCATGTTGTATCATACGCCTTTTCGATATCGAGGAACACAGAGAGAAAATATTGTTTATGAACGAAGGCGTCTCTGATCTGTGCCTCGATACGAACAAGGTGGTCTGTGGTGGATCTACTTTCTCGAAACCCGCACTGAAATGGGTCGAGCAAATTATTTGTTTCAAGAAAATGTACAAGTCGGCAGTTTATCATTTTTTCGAAGACTTTGCACAAGCAGCTTGTAAGTGCTATAGGCCGCCTATAACTCGAGGGTAAAGAAGGGTCCTTGCCCTCTTTCAAAATGGGAATAACAATAGCCTCTTTCCAGGAGGTAGGAATTGTGCCAGAAGACCAAATAGCATTGTACAAACAAAGTAAGGTTTTTCGGGTTTCGTTTGGTAGGTTTTTTAACATTTCATACATCACACGGTCAGAACCTGGGGCAGAAGTACTGCAGGAGTTTAGAGATGTTCGGAGCTCAGCTAGACTGAAAGCTTGGTTATATGCCTCGTATCTGGTGGATTTGTGTTCGAGTTTCTGCTTTTCAATTCTTGTTCTGTATTTTTGGAAGGTGTCAGTATAGTGGGATGAGCTGGATACCTGTTCGAAGTGTGCACCGAGGAAGTTTGCCTGATCTTCCAAGGTATCACCCTGAGTGTTTACGAGTG